CGGACCGTACCCAGGGTACGTTCCGGTGTGTAAGACACTACCGGACCGTACCCAGGGTACGTTCCGGCAGTACCCCGGGGGACATAGACCAGGGCTGCCAACATTGGGTGATAGGTGAGAGTGAGATGCGAGGTAGCGAAGCGACCGAGGGGGGGGTTCCCCCCTCCCACGGTAGGGAGCTTTTGCATTTTATAACTTCAATTTGTGCAATTTGGTGCATAGGGCCTACTAAAGTGACTGTTTTCAGATATTGTAAGATTTTTTTTGCTGTGCGTGAGATATTTCAGCGTTTCATTCATGAAGAGATATTCATGCGTGAGATATCTCAGCATTTTTTTGCTGTGCGTGAGATATTGTAAGATCAGCGTGAGAGCGTGAGATTTGGTCAAAATGCGCGAGAGTTGGCAGCCCTGCATATAGACCCTCTCAGCGTCAGGCAAGTACTGTACGCACGACGGTAGCCACAAGTTCCCTCTACGTTGGCGAGAGGGTACGACGACGACGCGTATACGACGTGTAACAGTCGGAGAGCCTGGTCGGTTTAGCACGACGGGTACCAGGGGCGGATCCAGGGCTGAGGCTAGACAGTATTTTTCCAGTTTTTTAAAGGCACATCCCCCAAAAAGGGCACACCACCCACAGTGAGCGCCGTTAGGCGCGAATTCGAAGCACATGGCGGGTGGTCTGGGGGGCCTCCACCAGAAAATTTCAAAATTTCAAGGGTCCCTGGGCACAAAAATGAGCGCTATTTGAGCACACATTTAGTCAATCAGCAATAGCTAAAAACTAGCTAAAAACTAAAACTGGAATTTTATTTCTGCTTCATTTTGCCTGCGCTTTGCTTAAGGGCCGGACACACTAGGTGATTAAATCGGGCGATTAAATCGGGTGACGAAATCGCCGTGAAATCGCCTAGTGTGTCCACTCAATCGCCGCCGATTTCATCGCCCGATTTCATCGCCCGATTTCATCGCATAGATCAAAACGTTTTGATATATTTTTTATTATCGGGCGATTTTGTCGCCCGATTTCATCGCCTAGTGTGTCCGGGGCCGGCGATAAAATCGCCCGATTGTTAAAATTCATCAGCCAATCAGAGTTGTTCAATGATACTGACGTAATAGCGATGTTTCATGTTTAGTATGTCATGTCATGTAATGCACACGCACGCACACACGCACGCACACACGCACGCACACACGCACGCATGCACGTTTACATACGCATCATTTCATGCGCACGTTTTCATGCGCATGCACGCACGCATGCACGTTTACATACACACGCACGCACGCATGAACGCATGCATCATTTCATGCGCACGTTTTCATGCGCATACACACGCACGCACGCATGAATGCACGCAGGTGTACGTGCACACGCACGCACGCACGCACGTCTACGTGCACATGCATGCACGACTTATTCACCGGCGATTTAATCGCCCGATTTAATCGCCTAGTGTGTCCACTCGATTCGCGCGATAGAATCGGGCGATTTTGTCGCCCGATTTTATCGCCCGATTTAATCGCCTAGTGTGTCCGGCCCTTTATGCCCCAGTCACACATACACGACACACGGCCCGCGCACTGAAAATTAATTAAAAAAATGGAAAATAGATCAGTGCGTCGTTGTGCGCGCATGCACCGCACAGCCAGCGAACGGTCAGGTCAGCGAACAAACAGGTCAGGGATATGGTGTTGCGAGGCACCCTCCACCCATAGGACATTGAGTGATACTTGGTCCCAGAGGCAAGATGCCGCAGAGTGAGGGCAAGCTTCAGGCCAGGGTCGAGGGCATCTCTGTAGGTTATATTGTGCTTGGTGATGCTCGGACCCATTCTGGTTAGCAGCTCGTTGAACATCTGCATGAAGTTCTTGAAGGCTGCCTGGTCTTCGTTACGAAGTTCAACAAGTAGCTGGTCATACAGGCCAAACTGTCGTCGCCTACCGATCCACGATCGGACCCAGAACCTCCGTTGACCTCTTCTCTTTCTCCTTCTCCTGATGACATGGACTTGGTAAAGTGCCAGTTCCAACTTCCATGAGGTTCTGCTGATGTTGGAGAACGGCGATTTCGTATTGTAGTCGCAGCCTGCCGGGATCCTCCATCTTCTGAGGTGGTTCCTCTAGACACGATCGGCAGGAATCTCTGTCATCACCCATGAGGGTCTGAGGAGAAGTGATGATGAGGAGGTGGGGCGGGACCCGTTTATATACCCCATGGCAGCATGGCTACACGCTGCGTACACGCTAGGAACACGCTAGAAGAACGTTGGGCGCGCTACAGACTCGTTCAGCACGCCCATATTCGCTGCATGTTCGCTGGACATGCGTTAAAAGCACGCTAGGTGTGCGCTAGGTGTGCGCTGGGTGTTCGCTACACCTCAGCCGACGAACATACAACGAATACCCATCGTGTGCTTCGCGTGGGTCTGGCGTTGGTCCAGCGCGCTCTGCGCGTGTCTGGCGTCCTTCTGGCGTGTACATTCATGCGTCGAGCTCCGCGCACAATTTTGTGCATGCACAAAAATCCCGACGCACACGATAAACGTTCACAAAAAACCCCGACGCACACGAATAAACACCCGACGCACACAATCACGACGCATAAATAGAGATGTTCTCTTACTCTTAGTCTATTAGTTATCTACTCCTGATATTATACTACATATATAATTCTATATACACGTGCATGCGGATTGATATCAGACCATCCTCAATCAATCTACGTGTAACCAGTGCTAACCACTACTATATAGCCGTAGAAGTTAGTACGCGGTGCGTTCAAAAAACCTAATTTCTTGTAAGTAAACTTTTTTATTTGTCCTACCTGAATGCGATGTTACTATGGTTACCGGCCGCCATCTCAGCGTAGTACGCTTACGCCGAGTCGTTATGATGCAGAATTTTCACCTGTAAGCCAACCACATATCCACGGAACGCTTGACAGAGAGGAGCACATACACGATAACACAAACACTTCACAAGGAATATTCAATCTATAAATGCATTCTACACTACATCGTCTGTCCGTGCGCTGACCGGTGAGACGGTGGTTATAATGACGTGAAAATGTAGCGGAGCGAGTAGAGCGAGAGACCGGCAAAGCACCGCTTCGCCAGATGGTGGCTAATCGATACGGCAGGTGAGACCATTGCATGAGCGCAGGGTAGTGGTATATTCACCCTATACATTATAGCAAGTTAGGTATTATTAGCTCTTGATTACAGGGGCGGATCCAGAGGGGGGTCGAGGGGGTCAGGACCCCCCCTTTTACCACAAAAAAAGGAAAAAAGCATACACACACACGCACGCACGCACGCACGCGCGCGCGCGCACACACACACACACACACACACACACACACACACACACACACACACACACACACACACACACACACACACACACACACACACACT